ATTTCATACTTTAAAAAGATTTTTAGAATTTTCTTTCAAAAAATTGTTTTTAGTACGAATATAATTCTTAATTTTAGTCTATAAAATATTACACTAAAACAAAAAATAAATATGTTTAATTTAAAAAAAAACCTCACTTACGCATTTTATAATTTATTGGTTTGGCTAATAATATAATTAATAATTTCAATAACGCATAGATGTTCATAAAACTTTTTAACAAGATACTCAAATATTTTTTATATTACAAATGTAAATAATCAATTTAACATTTAGTATAAATTATTTTCTATTTTATTCCAATTACATCAAATTACTGCAAAAACAATTTTTTTTTAAGTAATCTAACAAATAATTACACTATATCCATTGGAGTAATTTTATATTAGTTTGAACTTAAAATAACGTTGAATTAATTTAGGTAAAATGTGACATTAAAGAAAAAATAAACATTTTTTTAAAACTTTAACGAGTATAATTAAACACATTTAATGTATGACATATGAAAGACAAACGTCAATCATACTAAAGTATAATTAAGACTTATGTACACGGAGTTTCTAAAAATGGTTTATTTTATAACTCACACGCAGACTAACGTCGGTAGTCTCGTTTTACATGTTTTAATCTTAATGTAGAATCATTCATCTGCAATAGTAAGACCTGCACAGCTATGGGTCATTAACATTTGAATCTCTGTTGTTAATACACATTAACATACATTACAAATATTCGCGACGATCATTTCGGGCCTACGCTGGTACAATATAAAGAGTGAAAAGGAGAGAGAGAGAGAGAGAGAGTAAATGCATAAGTACACATATGTAGTTATATATTATATACATATACACACTATTATATACATAATAATGGCGCCATGTCTACAGAAAAGATAAAAAAACAAGTAAAATTGCGCAATTGCCTGCAGGCAGTTTAATAATACTTTTGCTCTTCGACAACAAGATGTATAAGTAATATGGTAATTGTCCTCGATCGTTATATGAAGAGAAAAACGCAACGATCAAGGGTGAAATGCCATAAAGTAGGATTTAGAGGAAGGGAACAATGATATTTTTTAGACCACCCGTATATCAATTAATAAAATAATACATTTTCGTCATCGCGTTATTCAATATTAGTGCCAATCTCAGTTAACGCTAAAGTAATACAACCAAAAATCAAGCAATGGATATTAAAATATAATATCAGCTTAAAGTATGTACGACGTCAATAACAAACAATTACAAAACAATAACAATACCTAAACGCATAAAACAAAATAATACAATTTTAAAGCATAAAGCGCATAAATGATTTTCAATTTAAATCTAAAATAATAATTTATTTTTTAAACGCAGAATTTTATTAAAATGCGATACAGTAGAAAATTTTTATAATTTTATAAGTAGTTAACTTCTTTTATAGCTCATCTTATTTTAATACCATTTTATTGAAACTATTTATTTACCAATTTTTACTATGTAAATTCCATAAAGCACAAAAAAATATTTAACTAAACAGGTAGCTATTGTAATATCCATTAAAAAAAATTAATTGCACTTGTTTATAATTTTCATAATATTTTTAATGAATTAATTTTTTTAAATCAATTGAAAAAATATTTTATTTCAACGCTGTGATTTTCGATAAACTATAAATTGACAGATATTGAATCATAAAAATATGTATATTTATGAAAAATAATCAAGGTGCAAACATGTATATTTGTTCAAAAGTGAATTCACACGTTTCTAGATATATTAATTTGTAGTTTAGAGTCAATTATCTAGGTATTTAAGTTATTAAAATGGAATACATTTTTAATGATATACAATTAATTAAATGAAAATAAGACATTTTTATGGATAAAAATAAATATAATTAGTCAAATTTTATCAAATTGCTGCTAATGCTTTGAAATTGACTTTTAAGAATATTTTAATAATAAGCTAATATCCAAGGTAATTCATAAATGATCTCATTAGTATTTCCCAAATAAAAAACTGTAGTTCCATAACAATCAAATCAATTAAAATTATCTCCATTGTTTACTCAAAAAAGATTTATTATAAAATGTATTGATTCTAAAATACTTGAAGTTTAATATAGCTTAAATCATCCAAAAAGATTATTAATTCTTGATATGGATATTCATTTTTTTTATCATTAGCAAGAATGAAACAGAAATCAATTATTAAAGAGTTTTACTCATACTTATAAAATTAAGACTTTATTGGTTAATAAAATATTGGATAAAATCCATGTTTCAATAATAATATAAAACATTATGTGTTTTGGATAAAAGAAAGTAACTATTTTAATTTTTTGGAAATATTTAACACAGAAATTATCAAAATAAAATATTTTTTGTCAATAGCTTTATTATTTAGGTACGAGAAAAATTATCAAAATAAACAATTCGAATGCAATCTGAAACTTAAACGAAGATCGCTGCGATCAGTTCATTTTACAAGCCAAAGGAATCTTAACTTCGAATATACCAAAATGTATATTTAAAGTTCAAGAACGTAAATTAAACTTCAATCAATTGTAATATAATGTTTTAAATTTTAATTATTCATTTGAATCAATATTTTTATTGTAAATATGTTTAAAGTAATATTCATAAAAAATAAATCAAAGCTAATAGTTTAAAAAGAATATCAATAAAAAAATGTTAGTGAAAATATCTTTCTACTTTATTTATTCACGTACATACAACATCAAATGATGTTTTCTTATACATTTATTATCAAAATAATCATAACGACCAAGGTTACGACATTTATTTTATTTGATGTCAACTTATTCAAATAAAATATAATTTTACTTATTTTCTCGTTAGTGCACTACTACTGTACTTATTTAATAAACTTAACAATGATTTTATTAGGATTAATTCCAAAAACTAATTTCGAGAATTAAATACCTCTGTTAACTGATTTTTGACGTTATCTCACCCCGGAAAAGTTAACACTTCTTTGTAAAGTAAAAATTATTTATTGTAATAATTTCTTTAAAACTCGTGAATATCAATACCTACTTTATAACTATTTATAACTTTATACTCTACATATATAAAATAAATTTTTGAAAACCTATTAAAAAATCAAGGTAAGTAGACCGAATTACAGTGATCGTCTAGTTGACGAAAAATATTCATGTTATGTACATACGCATATCCCTACAATTATATTTTGTTTAATACTTGAATGATAATAATAAATAAAAATAATTATAAAGGTCTATGGAAGGTTAGTTAAAAATCACCCTACAAACCATGTCACATGATCGATTTGACGTTATTAATAATTCATCAAAGACCAAACGTAAAATCGGAACAATGACTGGTTGTTTTTCACGTAACATTTATAGTATTGTCGACTTGTACATATTAGATACAATATTATTTTAAAACGTGCCCTGCGATGCGTGCATCGGCGTATAGTGTGTAATTTAGCCATTAACATGTGTCAAAACAAAAAGAGAATTATAACAATAATAGCAGCAGCAACAATAATAAATAATACCTAATCATAATAGCTCTAGTCATATACACCAGTTACACATTAGAATGACGTATATGGGCAGTAGTATATTTTTATTTTTTTCAGGAGAAATGATATGAAATGTTTTCCGTAACAAGGAGCAAAACGTATAGGTGAATAATGTAATATAGTAATAAAGTTGTTAAATTACTAAATTTAAAACACGAAACAACATAAAATATGATATTTAGTGTACCTTCCGGTATCTTCTCTAAGATAATTTTCTTTTATATAATATTATATACTCGAATACCTATATATAATATATTATACCAAGTTTTATTATCAGAATAAATAAAATTACCTTCCTAGGTACGTAGTTTATTTTTTATACATATAAGATTTCAATTTTTAAACCTTCCTTAATAATTTAAAATTAAAAAATGATTTCTCCTTAGGAGATATTTTGGAAACTTTAATATCGTTATAATAAATACAAATATAAAAGATCCAAATTTATAAAAATAAAAACACTAAACAAGTACCTAGTTTAATAAGTCTGGAAATAAAAATTAAATGGATACACTAAGAATTATAGTATATTTTTATTGAAATAATAAAAAGAAATACAAAAATAGTAATTTCAATTTAAAAAAAAAAAAGCGTCTTCGTTGCCCAATATTCTCCCCTTTGAAATACCACTGATTACACCTTGGTGGTAAAATAAGTAATTATAATAAACATTTATGCATGTTTAATGTTCACCCTGAATATAATTTGGCTTCCCCGTGTTCCACGGAGTTTTATGATAAGAATATTCAAAGGAACCTGTAGAGTGTAAATTATATTATTAATTATTACATGGTACGAAATGTCGATAAAACCAGTTCCGAAAATTATGTAGCGCAATATGGCATACACATTCACCAGCAGAAGCTCCAACTTCCCCAGTTATGACCTTAACAAACACTACATACATACAAGATAATTCCGTCTCCTGAATATCGAAACCGGAGAAACGCCGTTGACGAATCAACGACACAACCGCCGCAATGCGCCTCGTATAAGTAAACAATTAAAATAGGCTACTAACGAGATGTATTTTAAACGTGATAATCGTGTGCAGAATCAACAGTAAAAAAACAAACAAAAACTACAATTATAATCAAAAACTTAAACTATATAAATCGTCTATTATTTTTTTTTTTTTTTTGTGCGAGATTAATTGCGGAAAATTAAAATTTGTTTTTTCACTTTTCTGATAGTGAACTATAACTACTCGTTCGAAAAAGTCACAGGCAAGTTCCACCTCCAGCGAGACCAAACGTCATAACATTTAAGAAATTTTTCGTCGGTGTTTACGAAAACGTTTTAAAAGATACAACACGACTGAATAATATAAAATTATATAATAATAGTATTAATGACAAACGCGATTAACGTTATACGTATAATAATGTTAATATACCCCATAGGGAAGTAATATAAAAAGAGTTAAGAAAGAACACTTACTTATCTTGGATGAAGTTTATCGCGTTCCACGGCGACCGTGATGAAGTTCTCTTTTCGTCCGTGTAGTATATTATCCAATTTTGATATGCCAAAGAAACACACGAAAAACGAATGGATACGAACGACAAAAATGGCGATAAACCGTGCAATGTATGAACAACGATGATATTTAAAACCAGGGAGGTTTCGCACAAATCGTTCGACGGCACTGCGGTGAGTGGTCGAGACCGGTTAGTTTTCGGGCGGACGGGCGGTTACGTTCGGGCACGCTACGGTAACCGAATCAAACGCGCGGGCAAATTCAGACGATTTTCCCGCACGGACCCCTGCTAACGACAAAGTTCAACGAATACACAAAGACACGGACCGGTGTTACCGCGTCGTCGACAACGATGCGCGCACTGCCTCGGCGAAGATGACGTGAACTGTTATTTTTACGATGTTTGTAAAATTATTGTTCGACGAGAGGGAAAATAAAACGGCACGGAGCGTAGAAAAAACCCAGTGAACATCAGCGGGAACCAGCGATTGTCTTTGCCGCCCGGTAAGTGAATAGTACTTTTACGCCGTTACGATTCAATAAACAATATAATAATAATAATAATATTACAACGATTTAATCCGCTTAACCACGCGCAGAAGACGGATCCGCGTGGAACGTGAGACGAGGTTAAAACGCGAAAAATAATAGTAATAACATCAACAATATTAATAATATATCGATGATACGCGTTCGAAAACCAACCCGTGCCGGTCGCGACGACGTATCGATGTGGTGCGCACTGACTGTCTGCACTCGAGCGTGTGTTGGACGCGCGCGCGTTCCTGGTCGCAGCAATCGTAGTCGCAGTCGTAATCGCCGCCGTCACGCGGCAAGCGAGCGAACGTTTTGGCAGGAAGGTCAGCTGATTAGAAAGAAAGTACCTGCGGCCGTCGTGGTGTCGGTGGTGGGAGTCGCGTAGCGGCAGCGACTGCAGCGATCGCGCACATAATATTATTATTATTATTATTATCATCGTAAAACCATTATTATATTTTATCGATTTTCATTATCTTAACAATCATTTTGATCACATTTTTATTGCTGTCGCTTAACGTGTTATCACCAAGCCAGTACGATTGTTGTTATGATCGTCATCGACGAACAAACGCGACCAGCTGTTACCCTGCGCGGGACACGAACAGCCGGTGTAGGTCAGTAGAGCTGATTCCGAAAACGGGAAAATAATAATACATTATAAATAATTAGCTAATTTGACTTTGAAAAATACGCTCAATATATAGTAAAATATCAACTATAGTTTTTTGAAAAATATTCCATGTACAATGTATATGATACTCGTACGTTATACATACATTTTAATATATAGTATATGTATTATATATACTATACCTTTATTTAATAAATTAGGAAATGTATCGATCATTTTATAAAATGTGATACTTAAAACGTGTTAGATTCTAAAAAAATTTGAAAGACGACAAATAATTTATTTACTAAAAAAAGATAAATATTTTAAATCGATCACTGCGATCGTTATCCACTTCTGAAGTATTATCAGTAAATATTCCGAATAATTTACACTTTTATTTTAACCATAGTGCCGCAAGTGACCTAACTTTTTACTAACTTCCAGAAAATTAATAATGTATTTATAATTATATAATTATAATAACATAATGGATGTGAATAACGTTTTGCAGAGAATTGCGCGGTGGAATCTCTGTTAATGACGTTTAACAAGTACAAATACAATGTTATCGTTCCACAAACACTAAACAAATGATACAACGACATACCGATCGTATTGTTAAAAGAGTATTGAAAAATAGAACACGTTTAATTGATCAATTTCATATCTGATTAATTGTTAAAATTGGTTCGAAATAATATTTTTACAGAATTTAGTTCTTTAAACAGAACTAAGCACATTAAAGTTACGTCCACACCAGGGACAGATCTAGAGTCAGGGAACTGTGGGTCAAGCCATTTCAAAAGACCATTTATTAGGAATGAAACTGAATTAGAAATGAATACCTTGTAAAAAAAAAACTCAATATGCTCATAAAAGTGTATAAGTATATTTATATTACATTTTAGAATTAGTGATACCACCGATAATGACTTATTTACGATTAATAAATATAATCTAATTTTATCAGCGCAACAAATGTACGGAATAAAATATGATTTACTTAACTTTCTACTAAAACAATATAATTTAAAATATAAATTATGAATTGAAAAATTTTAAATTTTGAACATACATGACATTCATTTTTCAAGTAACTCCGATAGGCCAACTGTCCAAGAGTCCAAATCAAGGTCTAAAAAGAGATAAAAATTTCCAAGAGGCCAATTTTGTCAACAAATATTAACTGTGGGTCAGCTGACCCCCTGAACCCCCCCCCCTAGATCCGCCACTGGTCCACACCAAGAAACATTTGTCACCGATATTGAGTCAACAAAATGCGACGGAATGTTTCCGATATAAATTAAAAACACGCACATCCATACCTGAGTATCACATTTATTAAACATTTATTCTTCACCAACATGTGATTCAAGAATAACATTGTTCTATAGGTACTTATTTTTTATAATTTGACTGCGTTTGGTCCCATAATATTGACTTTTCATGGTATAAATCAATTAACTGTCAAATTTTTTATTTATTCAACTTCATAGTTTTTTTTTAGAGCCACTTACTAAATACTAAATATGTAAATTAAAATATATTATTTAGACATATAGTGAATCAAATTAGAATATAATAAATATGAATTATTAAAAAAAAAACAGTTTAACGGCAATTCACGTCCAATATCTTGACTGGCTGAACTCAAAACAGTACAATGTCATAAAAATATCAAAATTGATAGAGTCATAATATACAATGTAATAATACGTCCAGCAGTAGCATAGTTGAAGTTCAATTAAGAGGGGGACGATTTAGAAATATCACAGGTATAAATACTATATTATTTTATTAGCTATATGCTATAGGACTGTTTTTAAAAAATCACCAATAAAAAATATCAAGTGGAGATGATCAGCCCATCACCCCTCCAGCTACGTCATAAATGTCCAGTCATGTTGAGGATCTGGACATTCCGATACATTATCGACGACAATGTTGATAAACATCCTATGAAAGTATTTATTTAACTAAGAAAAAAATATTTTTTCTTGTGCCTTATTTTGCGTTATGTAGAAAGTCCAACCATATAAGATTATTTAACTCTTTATTAAATATTATCGACAATTTTAATAAAAATAGCTTCAAGTATTTCACTACTTAATAATATATTCGTACTAAATAATAAATTATAAGAAATAAATATAAATCAAATCATAAATGGTATAACAGTATTCAAAACACTAAGCATAATTATAATAAACAGAATAAAGAATTATTCAATATTTTTTAACACAAAAAAAGAAACAATATGCAATTAACCAGTTTATTATACTTTCTCATCATTTTAAAAATGTCACTAATTCAACACTATTCTAATAATATTTTCAATACACATCAATACTTTAGATAAGTATTTTTAATACCTACAATTCAAACTTTATAAAAATGTACCCTTCATTAGTAATCATATCATTCTTAATAGTTTTCAGAAATATGCATAAAATGATTATTAATGATTAAATTTTGTAAAACGAAAAAAAATTGAACCATCAAAACAAGAAAGAAATGTTTTAATTAATTTGGATTTACTATCTTTTCTAAATAATTTTTCGAGACGTTATCAATTATAAGGTCATAGGGTAGGTAGGATAGGTTAAACTAAATTTACCTGATTCCATTTTTCTTAATGTCATTTGTTATTGTTGTTGTTAAAACATTTTAATTATTTACAGTTTTCGATATAAAATATAATTTCATAAATCTTTTACTAATCTTTAATCAAAAAGACAAATAAAAAATTATAAACTACAAGCTACAAGTCAGAAAATAACTTTTAGTTAATTAGTGAACGCTCTGGTCAGGTTTTATAGAATTAATTCCTTAAAATTCCCTAAAATTAAGAATTCGTTTTAATAATTTATATCTACTTAAGCTTAAAGTTGCATATTAAAAAAATTTAACTTATATGAATAATGTGTTTATATAAAAATATATCTACAAGTATATGATTGCGTTTGTTGCTCCATGTGTTTTCATATTGAGGGTGGGCAAAGAGCTGTTGCAAGTTATTCTACTTCAATAACTATTGACAAGGAAAAATTAAATCACTTTTAAATAGTTTGAAATTTATATTCATTTTCATTACATAACCTTTCTAATCATTTTTATAAAAAAATGATTCTAGTAAGTCTCAGTTATTAAATATATTAATTAATACTCTTATCCATTTTGAATTGTTTAAAATATTTAAAATTCTAACAAACCGATAGAGGATAGAGCTGGTTATGCTAACGAAAATACACTACTTTAACAATAAGTTAAGACACTAACTATCGGTTAAAATACCTAAAAGGACTAAAAGGACTTGTCAACCTGTTACGTAATATAATAGATACGTTTTATTAAATTATAGTAAATTTGCTTGCGAAATATTCTTATAAAAATGTATACAAAATAAATAAATATCAATGAAAAAAAAATACTTATAAAATAATGTAGGTGGAAATTCGTTCATCGTCCCTTATATTCATGATAATAAAATAGGTACTAGATAATGGTAATGAGTATAAAGTTTTTAATTTTAAAAAAAATTTTATAATTTCTTGAATCAAACTATTTTAAGAAAAGCTTCAGTATAAAAATACACTGTTTATATATTTTACTATTTTTAGTCGACTGTCAGTAAGTTTTTTTTTACAACATGCAGTGACGGTGCTAGAGTTTGCGAGGCCCTGGGAAAAATAAACATTGGGTCTTATAATTTATATTAATAAAATATTTCAAGTTCAGTTAAATCAAAACCGCGGGGCCTTAATTATAATTTAAGGCGTGGAGCCCTGGGAAACTGCTCCTATTGCCCACCCCCTCGCACCGTCCCTAATAACATGTTTAACATTTTCTTTTTTGTTGAAGTAAAAATTTTTTTAACCAAACATTTAAAATATTATGTTCTATCTGTATCAACAGTATCATTATGATTGAATGTACCAATTTTTTTTTATAATTTTAAATATTTAGAGTAACTTATTAAAACTAATGTAAAAATAGTAAATTCCGTAAAAATCATACAATAATTTACTTAAGCGCTTATAAAAAAAAAAA